CCGGGCCCGCCGCCGCCGCACGCCTACCCGTTCGCGCCGGCCGCCGGGGCCGCCACCAACGCCGCCGCCGAACCCGAGGGCCCAGGGGCCAGTTGCGCGGCCGCCGCCAAGGCGCCGGTGAAGAAGAACGCGAAGGTGGCCAGCGTGAGCGTGCAGCTGGAGATGAAGGCGCTGTGGGACGAGTTCAATCAGCTGGGCACCGAGATGATCGTCACCAAGGCTGGCAGGTCAGGGCGCCCTTCTCTCCGCCGCGACCCTCCCCCACGTGGCGCCAGTCTTGGGCAGCGCTCCTTGGCCCGATTTACACGAGTGGGACCAAGAAGCGGGGTGGGGGGCGCGGCCCGACCACCTGCGGGCTCTCTCGGCACGGGCCGGCTCCTTCGCTCTCTGCGTCCCGGCTCCAGCGACAGCCGCCTGGTGCGCAGGGCGGGAGGGGACGGCGCAAGAGGCCGGGAAGGCGGCAGAGAGAAGCCCCGCGGACCTGCTGCCCAACCCGCAGCCACAGGACACGCCGCCGATGAAAACAGGGTCCGGTTCCGAGCACACCGGAATGAGGAGAAGGCAGCCACCTCCTAGGGGCCTCGCCACCAGCCAGTTCCCTGTGGATCCCACCTCAAAGGAAACTTGGTCTTTGGTTCCCTAATTCAGTCTATCCGGGCTCGATAAAGAGCCGGCAGATGGGCACTTGTCTGAAAAAATTTAGGGGAGAATTACGACTCTTCAAAACAGTGTGCTCTGTTTTGTGGAGGTCGCTACCCGGTTTTCTCAGGCCTAAATTTCGGGTGATTCTGGGGCCTGGCTCTGCTGCCGGGGCCCACCGCCTTCCAATTAGCCTGTATTTGTTGTAAGGGCCCAGAGAGAAGGGGAACAAGTTTTTCGATGCAACGGATTTGACCAGCGGACAAAGGCGGGTGCCGGGCTGTGTCTAATGTACACACGTAGGCACCAACTCCGTGTCTGCCTGGTCAAAAGGAGTTCAGGGCCTGTTTGCAGAGCCTTCTCGTGGTTTCTGTTTCCTTGCCGAGGCCGTCCTACCTGGGGAGACTGGGGCCCCGTGCTCAGCTCCAGTTCTGTGGGTCTTCTTCAGGCTCTCCTTGCTCTTCTGGGCACACGGGCCCTGTCCCCAGAACTGTGCCCCGGCATTCAGTCCAGGCCAGCCCAGCAAGGGCCTTGGCGGTGGCCAGGCTTCACCCCAGGAGCCAGCATTCTGCAGCACCCTCCGGCCTGCAGAGGCTGGCGTGGGTGGTAGGCCTGTCCAGGAGTGCCGGCTCTGTAGCATCCGTTTTCTGCCCACCACCTGCAGGGAGTTGCCCAGGAAGGGAAGCTCTAGGAAGGGCTAGGGTGCCAGGCCTCAAGCTGTTCTCCAGGGCCCAGAGGCTGGCATTGCTGCCCATCAGGACGGCGCTGACCCACAGCCAGTGGCCCATCCTGGAGCGGCCTAATGCCCTTTCAAGAGCCCTATCTGGTCATCGAGTTGGAGTGCAAGGGAGGGAGAGCTAGGGACCATGAGGGCACAAGCCAAGTCTGCCCTGAGGAGCTGTGTCTTGGAGTTATGGTGAGGGGAGAGGGAACTTGCTTGTATCCCCAAGGGAGACTCCCGCGCTGGGGGGAAGGCAGACCCCGAGAGTCGGGGCACAATTGAGGCTCTGGGCTCCAAGGCCTCAGCTTCGCTGAGGGATTTGGGAGCAACTACAGACCCACTTGAAAGGGCAACCGGGCCTCCTCAGAATCCCCCAGACTATCCCAGTTTCACTTTGTTCGAGCCGGGGAGCTTAGATCGAGCCGGGCAGGCTCTGCCGAGGGCTGAGAACCGCTGGGATCGAGTCCTGCCATGCGGGTGTTGTCGGCTGAGGCTAGCTTCCGTCAGGACAGCGGGAATCCGGCAATTGCTAGGCTGGGTCCATGCGGGCAAAAGTGGCAGAAGAAGCAGTGGGCCCATGTTGGGGTGTGGTGTTCCGCGCTAGCACTGAATTAGCCGTTTTTTGTGTTTGAAAAAGGGGGCAGGGGGCTGCCTGCCGCTCCTCTTGCCCTCGGCTGGGCAGGGGCCTAGTTGGGTTAGAGCAGCTGAATGAGGGGCCAGGCAGCTAAACGAAATAGCCAGCAGGGAGGCCACCCTTCCTGGAGCTGGTCACGGTGGGGCGGCCCTGCCCTTCTCCACCTGAGGTGACCTGCTGCCCTGCTGCCCCCAGGCGCATGTTCCCCACCTTCCAAGTGAAGCTCTTCGGCATGGACCCCATGGCCGACTACATGCTCCTCATGGACTTCGTGCCGGTGGACGACAAGCGCTACCGGTGAGTGCCCAGCAGGAACTGGGAGGGCGTCCTGGGATGCCTCGGGTACTGCCCATGACTTTAATGACCAGGTGGTCCTGGGCACCTGTGCCAGCTGCCGCACTCCTCACCCTGCATGATCTGCTTTCCCCCTACCCCATTGGACCCCAGACCCACACACCCCACCCCCCAGAGGTTCTCAGAACTCCCCTCAGGAGGTCACACAGGTGGTCACCACCACCACCAGATATAGGCCCAAGGCAGCACCCATGCCACAGGCCGGCTTGGCCTGGGGGGGGGCGGGCAGGCCCTGTAGACACAGCGCCCCCCCTCCGCCTTTCTTTGTGTCTCCTCCTCCAAGGTGAGGTGAGCATGGGCACCTTGTCCCCTTCCCCCATTCCCGGAGAATGCTGGGCCCTGGAGCTGGGCAGGAAAGGTGGGGTGACCGGGAGCGATTATGCAAGGCGGGCCCTAACTGCCCGGACAATTAGCAGCAATTAATAAAGAGAATGTGGTCCACCCTGTGCCCAAGGCCACACTGGCGCAGCCAAATCCAGGCTCCTGCCAGGCCAGCGACACTGGAGACCAGCAGGGAGGCCCAGAGAGAGCAGGCAGACCCGCATGCGACGAAATGTGGCACCAGGAGCCCAGCCTCCCTCCACGGTGCCTGGCTTCCTGCTGTCTTGTGTATTGGGACAGGAGGGAGTTTTCTGTTTTCTCTACAATTCCTTTCGGAAAAGCTCCCAGCCAGTGTGGTAGCGGAAGCCTCGATTTCACCGATGGGGAAATTCATCAGAGGCACTTTCGGGGTTCACTCGGCACGGCCCTCTCGGTTCACCCCCACATGACGTGACCCTGTGCTCCGGTGCCGCCCCAGGTACGCCTTCCACAGCTCGTCCTGGCTGGTGGCCGGGAAGGCAGACCCTGCCACGCCAGGCCGAGTACACTACCACCCTGATTCGCCTGCTAAGGGTGCACAGTGGATGAAGCAAATTGTGTCCTTCGATAAGCTCAAGCTGACCAACAACCTGCTGGACGACAACGGCCACGTGAGCAACCCCCTCCCCAGGCTATGGCGCTGTCCCCCGTGCAGGCTCTCTGGAGTCCTTGCTGACTGGAGCCACTGGCAGAGCTTGGGCAGCTCAGAGTGTGGATGAGCGACAGGATACAGAGAGCGGCCCCTCTGCTCAGGAGCTCACAGGGCCTGGTAGTCCTCGGGCCTGGGAGAGGGGTCACACTGCTTCCCTCACCCCACTCCTGGTCTTTTGCTGGAGGTTTTTAACTGGAAAGAATGGGGCCATATGTTGGGCAGGAGAGGCTTTGTGGAATCCAAGACAGTGATGTGAACTGAAGTAGTTCTCAAGGACCTGAGGAAAGAGAATCTAGCCTTGATCTTTTGCTACTTGGAACATCTTTCCCGGTGGCCCCCAATGGGTCACAGCCTCCACTTGGGCCCCACTTCCGGAGTTAAGGGTTTTGCCCAAGTTCTCTGGGACATTGGCTGCTTATCTGGACCTTGGTCCATTTCCTAGCTCCCACCTCACCACCTTGTCTTCCAGATTATTCTCAACTCCATGCACAGATACCAGCCCCGCTTCCATGTGGTCTACGTGGACCCGCGCAAGGATAGTGAGAAATATGCCGAAGAGAACTTCAAAACTTTTGTGTTCGAGGAGACACGCTTCACTGCTGTCACTGCCTACCAGAACCACCGGGTGAGGCCCTGGGGATCGGCACCGTCAACACTTCTGGGAAGGGGTACAATTTTCAGTTTCTGCCTGGGAAACGAGGTTTGGACCTGCAAGCTGTGGGTCCCAGTGGACCGCAACAGCAGGGATCCCCACCCCAAGGGCCTCAAGCAGCCCCTCCCCTCTGCTGCAGGACGGCCTTGCCTCCTATCAGGTTGACCTCTCAAGCAGCAACTGTCACTGCGGCCTGAAAGTTTGTTTTCCAAACCATTCCGGAAACTCCCCATCAGGGGCCTGATCCAAGGTTTACCCAGATTCCTAGGGCACCCCCCTCCCCTCCACTGCGGGGTGGGGGTAGAGGTGACCACATTCCCATCCCAGCCAGGGGTACAGGGTCTCTATCCCAATTGCTTGGGGGAGTTTCTTAGCGAGAAAGTAGGCTCAGCAGACACCCCGCTGCAGGAGAAAGGCACAACCTCCGCGGAGGGGGCAGTTGTGGGCGGGTTCCTGTCCGCCGAAAGCAGAGGGGCCCTTCCTGGGAGAGACCCTCGAAACACTCCCCTCCCCTCCGCGGAGGTCCGGTGGCCCCCCAGCACAGGAGCTCGAGCTGCTTGCTCAGTGCCCGCTTCCCTGCAGATCACGCAGCTCAAGATCGCCAGCAACCCTTTCGCCAAAGGCTTCCGAGACTGCGACCCTGAGGACTGGTGAGTGTCCTCCGAGGAGACAGCGCCTGGGCGCCTGGACAGTGAGCCCCCCTGACCCGCCGCCCGCCTCCCTCCCACAGGCCCCGGAACCACCGGCCCGGCGCGCTGCCGCTCATGAGCGCCTTCGCGCGCTCTCGGAACCCTGTAGCCTCCTCCCCGACACAGCCCAACGGCGCCGAGAAAGGTAGGGCCTGGGTTGTGGGATCCCGGCCGCGGCCCTGCTGCGCGCTCCGTCCTGGGCAAGTGGCTGCACCCGACCTCGCCTGCGCCCCAGGGGCGCTCGCGGCCTTCGCGCCGCTTGCACAACGGCCCTGGCGGCGGGCAAGCGTGCACTCGCCCGCCTGGCCGCGACGGCTGCGCCCCGCCCTGACGCCCGCGGAGGGGCGCGGGCCCCTAGGGAAGGCCCGGGTCTTCGGCAGGTTCGGAGAGAAGGGGCGGGGAGCGGCCTCGCGCCGCCTCCTGCCGGCGCCGCTGGTGCTCTCGCGGGTACCCTCGGCTGTCCGGCCCCCCGCGCGCTCACCCCTCGGCCCTCCCTGCAGACGCGGCCGAAGCCCGGCGAGAGTTCGAACGCGACGCGGGCGGGCCGGCCGTGCTCGGGGACCCGGCGGCCCCGCCGCCGCTACTGGCGCGCGTGCTGAGCCCCGCGCTGCCAGGGGCCGCCGGTGCCGGCGGCCTCGTCTCGCTGACCGGCGGGCCCGGAGGGCGGCCCAGCCCCCCACACCCCGAGCTGCGTCTGGAGGCGCCGGGCGCGTCGGAGCCGCTGCACCACCACCCGTACAAGTACCCGGCCGCCTACGATCACTATCTCGGGGCAAAGAGCCGGGCGGCACCCTACCCGCTGCCCGGCCTGCGCGGCCACAGCTACCACGCGCACGCACACGCGCACCCGCACCACCATCCGGTGAGCCCGGCAGCTGCGGCCGCTGCGGCCGCCGCTGCGGCCGCCGCCGCCAACATGTACTCTGCCGGGGCCGCGCCGCCCGGCTCCTACGATTACTGCCCTAGATAACGCTGCCGCCCGGTTCGCGGACCAGGGCAGCCCTGAGGCCGGCAGACAACGCGCACCAACCCCGGGCCACTGCGGGTCTCCCCTTCCCCAGCCTCGCAGCCATGGGGTCCTCCACTCTCCGCTGGAGCGCTGTGGAAGGACCGGGTTCCCCAGCTCGGGCTTCACCGAGGGCACTCCAGCCCCAAGGGCCACGGGAGCCGCGCCGCCTGTGCCAAAGCGTCCGGTCAGCGCGGAAGGAAGTGATATTTATTGTTCTCCGCGAGACCGCGTCGATGCCCCCACCCCAGCCTGGGGGCGGGGAGGCAGTTGCAGTGTAGACGACCTGAGAGCCTTGTCTGCAGGCGGTGTAGATACATGTAGATATTTGTAGATACTGTAGATACCGAGCCGGCGCCAACTTGATAAACGGTTTCGCCTCTTTTGGAAGCTGTCTGCGTGTCCATTTATTTGCGAGCAGTTAGAGCTCACGGGGGGATCTCAGGGAGAGCGAGGCTGGTCGACTCGGGGTCTTAAGGGTCTGCCCAGCCCCAGCCCCCGCAGGCCGCAGATCGGGCTCTGGGCGGAGCAGTGTGTGGGAGTGTGTGTCCCTGCAGTGCCATCTGAGCCCCCTACTAGAGCCTCTTCTGGACCCCACCTCTCGGTCAGCTCTCCCCGCCCCCTCGGCGGGCGGCGTGGGCTGTCTGGGTTCATTCCCACCACCCCCTCCTGTCCCTTTCTGGCCCTGCCTTTGCCCTCCCACTTCCACTTAGTAGCTTCACCCAACCTCCCCTAATCTGTGGGTACCAGGGCTCCCCCACAGCCCCCCCATGTGCATCTGGCCTTTTTACGTATACATTTCTCACACGGCAGTTGTCCCTTTTCTAGGGCTTGGGCCTGAGCCCCCACCTGTGTTCAGGATGGATGCTGGTCCTGCATGTTTTCTGTGGAAGCTGGGAATGATAGTCACAACAGGACACTGTCAGTGGGGACTGGAAAGGGAGAGGCCCTGACTGATCAAGGAAAGACAAAAACAGGCAGTTCTGCTGGTCCGGCATTCCCCTTGGCTGGCCCTCGCCCTGGCCTGTGTTTTCCCCTGTTTATTGACTCTATTCACTGTGAGTGTCCCTACGGAGTGACCTGAACAGGGGGCACAATGACAGTGGTCATGAGTCATCTTGAAACCTGTCTGTGAAGCATTTTTCCCAGGCCAGGTGGTGAGGGACCTCTCCCCAATAACTCAACACCAGGGATGGGGGCCAGAGGAACCCTTTGATCCCTCCCTTCCTGAGTCCAGGCAGGAAAAGCTGACAGCCGGTGAACGTCAAGGCTGCTAACTTGGACACAAAACGAACGGGAAATGCAAGTGGCTGAGGTTCTGTCCCCCTTCCGTGCCTGTCCCAGTGTGTTTGTGGCCATCACTGCCACGTGGCAATGGCAACCGGGTCCTACCTCTCTGAGGGCACTGCCAGGCATTTCCTGATGTCCACCCTGGTTGGATGCTTTCTTCCCGGATGTGTTTGCCCTGGGGGTGTGAAGGCTTAGAAATTGGACAGCAGGAACTGACCCCATGAGGTGGGTCTAGGAAGGGAGTGGGTGACCAAGGCTGCTGAGGGGTGAGCTCTGGAGCCATAGCCCCCCCCCCAAAGCTTCTATGGTCATCTAGTGCCAAGTGTGAAGACTTGCAGCATCTGCCCAAGTGGTCAGCAGGCTCTGTGGACATAGCTTCAGGGATGCACTCCTAAGGGCAGTTCTGGACACCCATCCCTGATGGACATCTGTCCACCCCCCACTGGAGATGTCCCTCTGGGTGAGCCACCTGTGCCAGTGGGCTTCCAACTGGGGCAACCTGTTTCACATTTGCACCACAAATGTACCTGTACCCTTCCTTGTCCTGGTCTGCAGGAGTGATGGGCTGTGGTTGGCCTTGCAGAGCCAGTGTCCTCTGACGATGCTGGGCACCCCTCGGGGGCCTGCTGTGATTCTCAGGCCTCCCTTTCCCTCCACACGCCTTCCAACCTAGGTCATGGGGTGGGGAGGGCAGAGGGTGAGAACCACAGTTGGAGAGATCTTCGTTTTGTTTCTTTTCAAAGTAAAAGTGAGGAGAAGCTCCCCTCTGAACTAATGATGGTGCCAGGTGTTTTCAGATGAGAGAGGTTGCAGGCAGCACACGCACCCACCTTCGGTGGGCAGCTTGGCAGCCCCGTGCATATGACCACCTCCCATAATCATTACGTACTCAAGGTGGAGAGCCATGCTGCTGTCCAACACAGTGGCTACTTACATTTTAATGAACAAAAATAGAATAAAATGAAACATTGGGTTCCTCACTGGCTACATTCCAAGTGCTGTACACTGCAGATTAGGGCTTGTCCTGCACTGGGGAACAGCCCCTAAAGGCGTGGTTTTTTTCCCCTCTGCCCCACAGATGAGCTTGCCCGGCTAAGAACTTCTCATAAATGGGATCGTGCAGCAGGGTGCCTGGGCTGGCCGCTCCGGCTCCACAGTGTGTTGCGAGGATACTGCGGCTCATTCAGCAGTTCTTATTGCTGACCAGCATCTATTCTCCTGTGAGAGGCATCTGGTTGTTTTAGGATGGGTGCTGTGATGCTCAGCGCTGAGGGCAGGGCTGGCTTCTCCAGGCAACCCTACTGTGCGTATCGGCCATACATCACCTCACTAGGCTGCTGTCACCCTGCCTTGCATCTTGGAGTGGGGAGGGGATGGGCATGAGGAAAGGGCTGGTTTGGGTTACCCAACTTCTCCTGGGGGCTCCTCATTTTAGAAAGGCACTAGGGCCATCTCTCCGTCTCTCATTTTTGAAATGAGCGCTTGGTGAGCACCCTTAGTTGCAGGCGCTGTCTGGCTGCTGCCATGTTGGGCTGACATTCCCCTGGGCAGCTGCTCCTGGACAGTTCTTTACTTCCTCGTGAAGCAGCTGTCGCAGCAGCTTCCTTTCTGTAGCTATCTTTTCCTCACTTCCATTTCCCTCACTTTGGGCTCCTCTTTGAGCATGCCTGGCCTGCCTCTTCTATGAGCCACCGTGCTGTGCAGGACTTAGGGGTCCTGTCCAACTTGCCAGCTTACAGGCCCACCCTTTAGCTGTTGGATGCCCCCACAGAACCTTCCTCTGGGTCTTCCATTTGGCCCAGAGGCCCCATTCTGCTCCCATCGCCTGTCCCCAAGTGTCCAGTGGCTGGGACTTGGGAGGACAAGAGTTTGGACTAGAAAGGACCTCAGAAATCTTCTGGTCCAGGAACCCCAGACTCTCTTCAACCCTCAAAGCTCTTCAAAAAAAACAGACGCCCAATGTGTAAAGTAGATGAACACCTGACTAAGTGGAGGAGGAGTGGGCCTATCTACTCCCTCCTTCGCCCCTTTACTTTGGGTCCCATGTGAGGGGTTTAGGGAACCCAAGGACCCTGGGGTGTAGTGGGACAACCCCCAGTACCCCAGCTCCCTGTTTTCAGAAGAGGAAGACCAGCCCAAAGCTACAGGCAGGCCTCTGTCCCGCTGTACCGCTGTCTTCAGCTCCATCTGTGACTTAAACATTCCAGCTCCCAGGAAGGCTTGGGGCACTCTGCCCTGCCAGTTAGGGTATCCCAACACAAATGACTGGCATTTTTGGAGGACTCGCCAAGGGCCAGGTATCCTGAAGCCCCATGGTTGCTGCCTCCTCTCATCTAAGTCTCACAAAAGCCAAGACGTGGGAGCTCTAACAACCCCACGAAACACAGGGCCTTGTCCACAGCCTCATGGTTGGTGCGAGGACACTCTGGACAAGGACTCCCCTTGCCTGCCACTGAAGTAAAGCTGGTGATGCCGCACACCTTTACAGGGACAAAGAGAAAGCACCTGAAACGAGCGTGCCAGAGGAGCTGCGTGGCGCAGGCAGACATGGGCACAGGTCTCTGATGGCAAACATCGTTGAGGGGCTGTTTATAGTCTTCCCCTGAGGAAGCATTTGGGGGTGCAGAGGCTGTGCACTGAGATTTGGTCACAGGATGAGCGGAACCTGAAGCCTGGAGTTGTAGAAGGAAGGGGGCCCTGGTGGTTATGGGGCTCCAGTCCCCATCCCAGGGAGCTCCAGCCCCCCTTCCCTCAGGCTGGGGAAGTCCACAGAGTGTGTGGGACCCATATGACGACGGCTGGGTGAGCATGAGACACTGATTTCCAGGTGTGCTGCAGATCAAAGAGCCCGCACACCGGAGAATTCCTGGGGCCACAGCTGCCGAGGGCAGAGCCAGGGGAGCCGTGTGCAGGCAGACTGAGGAAGGGTGGGGGTGAGGAGTTTCTTATAGGACAAAAGGAATGATTCTGGGGTGGCAGGAGTGCAGCCCAACCTGGAGCTGGGTGAGAGGGAGAGCACGCTCCCTGGTTCCAAGGGCCTGTGCCTCGATTTCCCCTTAATGCTATGGTGCTGACCCCTGCCCATGCAGGGCAGTGGACATCTGCTGTGTCTGTCCATCTTGACCCCATATACCTCCTCCCCGGCCACCTTCACCCCTCAAAGTCACCTCTGCATCCAGCAAGGGAGCAGGTGGGGGGACATGGCCCCACAGCCTGGTGGTGGCATCCAGCCCTGGGAGGGGAGGATGGGGTTGTTTCCTGGTCTACCTCACACATTTTCTGTATTTAAAAAAAACACAGCCGTGCCTTTGATTCGATTCCCTTTCCTGCTTGTCGCACTACTTCAAACCAGATGGTTCACAAGATGAAGCTCTGGAGTCTCGGTGTCTATTTAACTGCCGCCAGGTCTGTGTGTGGGAGACAGCAGAACCAGAGGTATTTTGTTAAAAGCAGCCCACATGGGGGAGAAGCTTAGGTTTTAATAGCAGTAATTAAATTATCTTCTTAATTATAAAGAGGTATGGCATTGTCGACATCCTTTATCTATCAGTTTTCAATTGCACAAAGTAAGCACTTAATCCTCTCCTTCCAGCGGCCACCACCCGTGTCTTCCCCCTGGACTCCCAGGGCTGCTCCTGCTGTGCAGACCTCCATCCGGGACACATGAGAGTGTGTCACCTGTGTTAGAGATTCTGAGATGCCCAAAGTTCCTCACATCTCAGTATCTCTGAAGCCAGGATGTGTCTCACTTAAAGGGATTCACAGTCTAACCAGAAGCCTTTTCCTTGGGGGGCTCAAGCAGGAGTGGGGCACCTTATCTTTGATGGGGACTGACCTTGGGGAACATGGTCATTTCTTCAGTTGCATATTTATGTGTGCCTGCTGGGCCTGGGGCCCAGAACGACCCTGGGTGCTGGCATGTTGCCCTGGGAGACTTTGCAAATCAGGACTCTGCTCCTCAGGCTCCAGTCCCCGAGCCCTACCCCGACCTTGGCCCTGCTCTCAAGGCTGGATGCCCTCTCTCTGCACACACTCTGTCCTCCGTCTTCTCTTCGCTACTCTATGTCACCCTAGCCTCAAGTCCTC